CCTGACACCTTCATTTCCTGTGTGTACTGGTTCTTCTGCTTCTATCCTGCACTACCATAAGCTCCATTGGGTCCCCAGTCCAGAACGGTGCCAGGCACAAAGAACACTGCTCAATGAAGGAATGGCAGCCCTCGGCCTTACAGAGCTTGCAATTTAGTGAAGGACACATCAGGAAGATAAAATCCTATGGAAGAAAATAAAACGCAGCAGGCAGAATGGGAGAAGGGCAGGTTGCCATTCAGGAGACAACCTCATTACTGCCTATGCAAAGCAAAGACAATGCTAAACCTAGGAACAGCCAACCACATGGCAGCTACCACACACTGACATGGCAGTCCCAGGCCCACCCTGTGCGGAGCTGGTGTCACTTTCTGCCTGCACTGCCTCCATCTGTATTCTTTCTCTCTGGGGACCATCCTGTCCGTATTGTGTGGCTTAACTGGAAGAAAAGCCACCGGGAGGCAAGGAGTTGTGTCTCTGGGCTCCTTACTTGAACTCCAGGAGCTAGAACAGCCCTTGGCACGGGGGAACTGCTCACTGAATGAATGAATCTATCCATCTGAAACACAGTAGCCAACCTGAGGGCCAGAAAACAGAGTCTTGAAGACACAAATGAGAACAATTACCTCCAGTTTGCTCAGTGTTTGTACTGCCACTGCCAGGAAGACACTCACCTGCTCAGCAGGGCACTCACTGACTGCGGGTCTCAGCCCCTGGTGCCAGCCCTTCCCAACACTGCTTCTGACTTGTCTGCTTATCCTATCAGCGGGGGCTTCTCTCAGATGCTTACAGAGAACTGCAGTGAAGTCACAGCCATCTGACGTCTATGTAACCAGCATGTTAACTTTGCACATTAAATGTATTCAGAAACCACCACTTCATGCAGCCACAAGAAGTGATAAAACCCAGTCACTGTGACAGTGAGACTTGCCAACTCTTCCTGAGGGCTCAGTCTGAGTGCAGGCCCTCTGCAAACGCCTCTGCTCATCACCTGTTTCCTCCTTGCAGCAACCCAGGAGGTTGTTTCTTTGTCAAACCCATTTTATAGACAAGAAAACTGAGGATCAGAGAGATAAAGCAATTTGCCCCAAAGTATCCCCAGTCTATACTGCCCAGCTGTCTTGCATGACCCCAGGTGCCCCCTTGCTGCTGCCCTACTCCCTCGGGCAAGCTCCCTGCATCCCACCTGTCAAATTGTTTCACATCTCAAGAGAATGAAGACACTGACCAGGACTGCTGGTTCCTCCCAGACAACACAGGCCTCCTGGGTTAAGCACCAGATGTCTCTGTTCTCAGGAAGTTCACAGTCAACAATGGACAAGAGACAGGCACCCCAAACCCAGCCCCCTCCCCCCAAAACAACAGGAAGAAGAAAGAAAAAAGAGACAACTCACGATTCTGCAATTTAAAAAGAAAACGAGACTCTTTTGTTTTATGGCCTGACTTTGGTTTTGGTTCTGACGACACAGTTGGGGAGGGGCCCCCAGGATGTGATTCAAAGGTCTTTACAGGCCCTAAACCCAGCCAGGCGAGAAGCAGGCATGCAGACCCCTTGGGGGGGGGGGGGTGAGCTCGCTCTCACCACCACCACCACCACTACCACCACCACCACCTCCTGCCACGCCATTAAATCCAGGAGGCAGTCCTAAAGAGATCTGGGCGGCGCCGCAGGCAGAGGATTAGCCTATTGAGCCGCAGCGCCGGCACACTGGGTTCTAGTCCCAGTCGGGGTGCCGGATTCTGTCCCAGTTGCCCCTCTTCCAGGCCAGCTCTCTGCTGTGGCCAGGGAGTGCAGTGGAGGATGGCCCAAGTCCTTGGGCCCTGCACCCCATGGGAGACCAGGAGAAGCACCTGGCTCCCGGCTTCGGATCAGCGCGGTGCGTCGGCCACAGTGCGCAGGCCGTGGCGGCCATTGGAGGGTGAACCAACGGCAAAAAGGAAGACCTTTCTCTCTGTCTCTCTCTCTCACCGTCCACTCTGCCTGTCAAAAAAAAAAAAAAAAAAAAAAAAAAGAGAGAGAGAGAGAGATCTGGGCCACCAAATCAAGCGGGATGCCTGGATACAGCCTTCTGCAAATGGCGATAGATTCTGCATCACACCAGGGGCTTCTGACCTCTTACCAGAGGCCTCAGAGGACCCCTTTCCCAGACCCCTAGCCGAGAACTTCCCCAGCAGGGTAGCCATTCTGTCTTGGTCTGCTCCACCACAGTGGACAATGCTGGCAGACAGAACAAGCGGCACTGACACGCAAGATATCCAGGTTTCTATGTGCACCCGAGGTGGGTAGGAGGGAGAAGGACACACTCGATCCTCCTACTCAAGGCCAGAAAGTGTTATTTGCTTGATCATTTTTACTGTCCCCTGAGTTTTACAGTGGGCTCAGGGGAGCAGAGGGCCTGGCCCAAAGCCCAGTGGCTCTGCAGCTCCCTACGCTTACCAGACAACAATTTTGACCTCTGAGATGTCAGTTCTTCAATTGCAAAATCATAATAATAATCCTGTCATACAGGATTGTTGGGAGACTAAATGAGGTGACATAAACAAAGCATTTTGAACCAAGCCTTATACACAAGAACTCCACCATTCCTGGGCATTGTAACTGCCTTGCAGGGTTGTAGGAGGCTTAAATGTGAAGAACATTTTTGCCTTGATACACACCGTACTTCAAAAAAGTTCTTGGAAAATTGCATTGAAAGATAAATTCAGTTTGGTGCAAAAAATCCAAATCCAGGCACAGGTGTTGTGGTGTAGCTGGTGAAGCTGCCACCTGGGACACTGGATCCCATATGGGCACCGTTCAAGTCCTGGCTGCTCCACTTCTGACCCAGCTCCCTGCTCATGGCCTGGAAAAGCAGAGGAAGATGACCCAAGTGCTTGGGCTCCTACACCCGGACAAAGCTCCTAGCTTCACCCAGTCCCAGCCATTGCAGCTATCTGGGGAATAAACCAGTGAATGGATGATCTCTCTCTCTCTTTCCCCCCTCTCTCTTTAACTCTGACTTTCAAATAAGTAAATAAATTTTTTTTAAATTTCAAATCCATATATTTGCATGATTTCCAGAAAGTATTATGAAAAAAAAAATGGATTCCAAAATTTTTAGCATCCAAATTACTTACATTTTATTTTGTTTGTAAAATTTATTTATTTCTTTATTTGAAAGGCAGGGTGACAGAGAGGCAGAGACAGAGAGAAAGCCCTTCCATCTGCTGAGCTGCTCCCCAAATGGCTGCAACAGCCAAGTCTTAGCCAGGCAGAAACCAAGAACCGGAAACTCCATTCGGGTCTCCCATCTACTGATTTCCCAGATCCATTAGCAGAGAGCTTGATCGGAAGCAGAGCAGCTGGGACTTGAACTGGTGCTCTGATATGGGAGAACAGCATTGCACGCAGCAGCTTAACCCACTGTGCAACGATGCCAGCCCCTCAACTTATATTTTAATTTCATTTTCCAAGAATTTTCTAAAATACCCTCCTAGAATTCTGATGCAGTACAATTGTACTACATTGTATACTGGTATTACTAGTTATTGTTATTATTACTGCTATTAGTCCATTAGATTGCTTGGAGCCAGACACAGAACAGAGGAGGCTCCTACAGAAGGAACCCGTTTGGCAGTGTGCTGCTGTCAGGCCTTGTGCTCCCTGGACTTCAGGGAAGATGTAAACGTGACTGTCCATAGGACCCATCAGAGGTCAGGTTTACTCCACATAATGTTCTGGGTCCATCACAGCCATCAGGTACACATACGGGAGGTCCTGGTCTCTTAAGGAGATCACTAACTGGCACTAGGGGAAGGGGGAAGGATGCCAGGTCCACAATCAACCAAGATAGGAAACAGAAAATAAAAAGCCCGAGTATCCAGAAGGGCCCATCTGACGTCTAAAATACACAGCTACATAAAGCCATCAATTAGCAGCCCTCTGGCTACCTCTCAAGGACATGAATCGGGGGCGAGCACCCCAGTGCAATGGGTTAAGCCTCGGTCTGGGACACGTGTATCCCACACTGCAGTGCCGACTGGATCGGATCCCAGCTACTCTGCTTCCCACCCAGCTTCCTGCTGCTGCACACCTCGGGAAGCAACGGACGATGGCCCAAGTACTTGGGTCCCTGCCACCCACATGGGAGACCTGGGTGGAGTTCCTGGCTCTTGGCTTTGGCCTGACACAGTTCCTGCTGTTGTGGCCATTTGAGGAGTAAACCACCAGAGAGTGAGAGTTCTCTCTGCACCCTACCACCACCACATCACTCTGCCTTTCAAATAAATATTTAGAAAACAAAAACAGAACACAGACCAGCAAAGCTCCAAGAGCCTCAGCTCTGCCGTTGGTCTGAGCACACCCAGGGACATTCGCACTTAGGAACAGAGAGGAAAGGTGCCTTATTCTCCAGGCCACTCCTTAGCAGTGCTGTCAGGGAAAGGTGTCCAGAGTCCTGCAGGCGGGGAGGAGGGCAGGAGGCTCTGGCCTGGCACACAGGGTCCAGAGTCCTGCCTGACCACCACGTGGGACAGAAAATCCCTCAAGAAGAAGCAGGGACAACAAGAATCCACAGGGCCTGCAGACCAGCAGCCACACAAATTAGTGGGGGTCAGATATTCCAGAACCCAGAGGAAAACGCTTTCCCAACTCAGCAAAGTTCCAGCCCCGGAAGCAGATGGCATTCAAGGGGGGAGGCGGCATAAGAGAAAAGAAAAGGAAAATCGATCAGAAAAAGAAACTGACTTCTACTTTTCAAGAGAAGCTGTTCATGCAAAATTCTATGTTCTAGGCAGGTGAAGTAACAATTTAAAAAAAAAAAAAAGCCCCCCTTAACCAGGCAGAACAATGAGGCGACCACAGCAACAATTGCCTCTGGGGGTTCTAGGGCACAGCATTGGAGCCCCCAATCCCACCCACCAACCTCCCCAGCGCCAGACCCCTGGGTGAAGTTCCGGTCTGGCCCTGGTGCCAGTGCCTGAGACCACGAGGCAGGTCTCACCTCCAAGATGTAACTCACATAGTGGAGGCGAGGCCGGCAGGATTTTCACAGCCATGATGAGCCTGCTGCTCTCGGGAGGGTTTTCTCCAAACAAACCCTTCAGGAACTTCCACACGGGGGTCCAAGGATCCATGCAGCCCCCTTGTCTGCCAGTTACAGCTTGAGAGAGAAGAGCTATGACCACAGGACTGCGTCAGGGGAACAAGCCTCAACTTGTCACTGCCTCTATGCAAAATGGGTCAGCAACATCCTATAACAGACCGGCAGACAGACCCCACCCACCCATCTACCCACCACACACAGCCGTGTTGTCCATGCAATTCTCCAGCAATCAAACCGCCCCGGGGAACAGCGGGGCTGACCGAGTGGAGGGGGTGAGGAGGGGGCAGGAAGGGGCCGCCAGCCTCTCTCGAAAACAAACCCCAAGCCTCACCCTCCTGTCTCTGAGCCCTCCCAATCTCCTGGCAGGGTCGGAAGTCAGGAGCGCAACACAAGGGGAGAAGAGTCCAGGCCTGCAGACTACCAGGAAAATTCGAGATGGAGCCACAGCCTCACGGCTGTGCTTCCTGAAAGTCTACACCCAGACCACAAACACTGGCATCAATAGGAGCCCATTAGCCAAGGGAAAATAAACCTAATTCAATCAACACTCCATCCAGAAGGAACTAGCACGATGAGGGTGCACGGGCACCCAGCCACGCCAGAAATGCAATGCAAAAGGGGAGAAAGTTTCAAAACACACCAGTTACTGAGTTTTCGGAAATCACCTTCACCCAGCCCTGGGAGAGGGGGTTGGGGGGGGGGGGAGGGGAGGGACGGCCAAGGATGGAGGGCACATCGCAGGCTTCACAGACCTCTAGTTTCACAAAAGGGGCCTCCAAACCGCATCTGCGGCCCCAGGTCGGTACTGATTGGAGAGGGGTCTATTTTTAGAGATTAGGTAATACGCTTCTGATCAAGTGCATAAAGCCAGAATCACCTCCAGGCGCGGGCCATTCGGTGCCACCCGCGCCCCCTCCCGCCCCTCCCCAGACGCCCAAACTCGCTGCCAGCCTGGAGCGTGGTGATGGGACGCGCTGGGTTAACACGCACGACGGAATCCGAAAAGCCCCTCTCCGTTCTCCAACGACACCAGGGCGGCATCCCTGCCCGAAGGCCGAGGCTCTCGAGTTTCCAGAAAAGCGGAGGGCAGAATTGGAACTTACTGGAAGGTGGCTCCAGCCGTGTCTCCAGGGTCACCCGGGCGCCCACCTCCTGTCCGCGTGGAAATCCACTCGCGGGTGCCGGGAGAGCCCAGGCTCATGCCTGCTAGCTGCTCCTCGGGGCTCCTCCTCGTCCCGGCCGCCCCGAACCTGCCCGACCCGCGGGCCCATGTGCTCAGCGGCCGCACGCGCTCTGCCCGGCGAGCGCGGGGCTGGCGGGTGGCCCGTGACGTCACGGCGGCTCGCGCTCCGGGCCGCGGGGGAGGGAGAGCGCGCGCCGCCCGGCCGGCCGCGTGCGTCCTCGGTCCCCGCGCGCCGGCTCCGCTGCGGCCGCCGCGCACGCATCTCTACCCGCTGTCCCCGCAACGCAGGGGCACCACGCCGGGCAGGGCTGCTATGGGAGGCGGGCGGGCCTGTGCCAGGACGCCGAGGACCCAGATGGTGCGGGGGAGGGCACACTGCGCGGGGCTGGGGCTGGGGCTGGGGGGTTGGGGTCCTCGCTGCGCTCACACTCGGGCCCTGCCAAGCCCTCGGGAACCCTGCGGTGATGCCCGCTCGCACTTGCCCTGCGCTTTCCGCAGCCCTTCCCAGAGTCCTGGAGCCAAGGATTTCTTGCCAGTTTCCAGATAGGGATGGCGAGTTTAGTGAATCGAAGCACCAGGGCTCTGAAGTGGGTTTAGTTTCCGCAGAAGACGGCTGGCTGAGCTCCGTCGCCGGTGATCTGAGCGCCTCTGGGTACCATTCAGCATCCGCGAGTCTGGGGAGGGGCGCGCGCACCTTCGCTCTTGCCTGGCCCTCTCCCGCTGTCCCCAGGCGCTGAGCTGCAAAGGCGCGCAGACGACCACCTGTCTGCGCAGCTCCCCCAACCCGGGGCTAGAGCTGAGCCACACATTATTAAACTAGCCCCCTGGAAGGCCCAGCAGGCCCTCCAAGGTGGTGGGGGGAGGGGGCAGGAGGACGCGGACTTCCCGCGTGGGGTGTGCTCATCTTGCGTTCGGGACACAAGCTCCGTCTGCAAGACGCTGCCTCCTCCGAGCTCTGCATTTATTGACCACGACTGGGAGCCGGGTACCTTGCTAGGCCGTGGGTAAGGGGCGTGAAAGACGAACCCCACGCAGACACTGGAAGGAAGTCGGACACACAAATGAGTGATTTCAGGATCCCGGAAGCGAAGGCAGCATCTTCTCTCTGCCCAGTACTGCTGCATCCTTTATCATTTCTGCCCCTAGGAGGGCTTTTGTCTCCTCCCGCTGTGGCCGGTTCAGTTTCTCCTTCTCCCATGCGAATAATTCTCCTCTCTTGAAAAATAGCGATCTTCAGCAAATGCTCTTCTACCACCTGTTACCACACTCATTTGTGGTCCCGGCGCTGTGGGAGACTAGACAGGCCCCTGGGCTACAATTGTCATGTACATTTTGAGAGGGGGAGTGAGGAAGACTACGAATCTCAGAGTCGGTGCAGGGGGTTCTAGAAGCTGCGAGAATCTGCTTTGGATATGTTTAAATGGTTTCTCAGGTGCGGTGGAGAATTTTAAAATATGATTTGAAAGTTTCTTTATTTTATTTGAAAAGCAGAGACATGAGGTGGGGTGGAGAGAGAGAGAGAATCGATCTCCTATCTGCTTGTTCACTCCCTAAGTGCCCACGAGGGCCAAGGCCATGCCAACACCAATCAAGAGTCCAGAACTCAGTCTGAGTCTCCCACGTGATTGGCAGGGACTCAAGTACTTGAGCCATCACCTGCTGCCTCCCAGAACGCACGTTAGCAGGAAACCCAGAAACCCACAACTGTGATATTGGGGAAGTCATTCTCCTGCTAGATGTCATGGGAGACCCCGCTTCCAGTGGCAACCTCAGTCCCACTTCTTGGGTCCTAGGGATGGGACTCCAGCCATCCCGTTAGCTGCTGCCCTGCTTTGCTGACTGCAGGAACCTTCACCAGGGCTCACTCAGCTTTCATGGTGACAGTACCTGCTCTCTGGGTCTCTAACACTACTACACTGGTCTTAGATTCACGTTTTTACTTTTTAAAACTTTCTCTGTTAGAATTAATTTTTTTTTCAGTAAAAAGACAAAGGAGAAAATAATATTTTAGGGGTGACTTGCATCGCAGCAGGTTAAGTTGCTGCTGGGGACACCCACATCCCCTATCATAGCGCCAGTTGGAGTCCCAGCTGCTCTGCTTCTGATCCAGCTTCCTGTTAATGCATCCTGGGAAGCAGCAGATGATAGATCAAGTGCTTGGGCTTCTGCTACTCACACGGAAGACTCAGAATTCTGGGCTCCTGCCTTCTGGCTGCTGCTGGCATTTGCAGAATGAAATGGTACATGGCAGATCTCTCGCTCTCTCTCCCCCCTCACTCTCTCATTCTGCCTTCCAAGTAGATGAAAAAGTAAAGTTTTAAAAATAATATCTTAATAGCACTACCTACAAAGAACATTTTGCTGTATCAGCTTCCAAATTTTTAAATCACTTACTCTTCCAAAAGTGACACAATATTTATACATTATAAAAAGCTAAAGCTATGCAGAAAAACACAGAAAACAAAAACAGATTTTATCAGCCTGAAATAACTTTCATGAATATTACATAAAGCCTAGACTTTTTAAAAGGCATAGATACATATAAGTAGATTTTTATGTAGATATATGAATGGATGCAGCGTTAACAGATAAGATAAACAAATTTGTTTTAAAATGTTAATATCTTCAAAAATTTTTAAAGAAAGTAAGGAGAGGGATTGAGGGAGAGAGTAGGGGGAAATACATTTATCTTCTTAGAATTGGACTTATGAGGTACATGAAATCTGTTCTCCTTATATTAATAACAAATTTTAAATTTTAATACCTTATGGCTGCTATTTTAAAATGTAAAATGTTTAATTTTTCCCGTAATAGAAGACAAGGAAGCTCACATGAAGCTGAAGGACCTGTTAAACTTTAAATATTCCTTTACCACATGAGAGATGTTGTTTCCTAAATAATCCTACCAAGAGTCAGAAGGGAGGTGGTAAGAAAAGAGTGACGCAATGGTGCTTTCTTTGTTGATTTCTTCATATCAGATGGCAGGCAATCTCTGGCTCTGCCGTGAGCACGTTTTCTCCCATTTCTGTAGACTTCACCCCCTAGCCTAGTTGATTGTGTTATTATTTTTGAATTGCCACTATCCGTTCTCTCACCACAATTCCCATGATTTTTTAATATAAGGTCTATAATTAAGTAATTTCACACTCAGAGCTAGTCTTTCCCTCCTCTGTGTCTGCTTCCTTATCTACGAAATCCATTCATTCCTTTATCAAAGATTTCCAAGCACTTATTATGCCAGGCACTGTGCAAACCACCTGAACTATATGGACCACAAGAGAAGCAAGGAGCCCACTTCAAGAGGCTCAGATTCTAAGGAGAAGAGGCAGATAGATAAACAAGGTCATTTCAACAGCAGCCAGTTCTGTTGTGACAGTAGATCTGGGTGAAGGACCAGACAGGGATGGAGCAAGAGGGGTGTTGATCTAACCAGCAAGAGGAAGCCAGCTACAGAGACCAGAGGAAGTGTTCCAGGAATGGGGCACAATCAGGTTAAAGGTCTCCAGGCACAGGAGAACAAGACCATCAGTCATTCAGCAAAGGCTTATTGAGTCAGTCAGACAGGCCAACAGTGGCATCACCATTGTCTATTGGTTTAATGGACAAGAACCATATACGTCCATCTGGAGCTGCCCATGTCATCTCCAGCACCAGCTCAGTGATTGCATGTAGAATCTGTGAGTGAATGAATGAATGCATGTCCTGGATAGTCTGGGAGCAGAATGAAAAGGGGTGGGTGCCGGCTGTGGTCGAAGCACAAAAAGAAGCGTCCACTGGGCAGAGAATACCAGGGGAGGTGGGACCTGGGTTGAAACTTGAAAAATAGAGTTGGAGTTTTCCAGTCTGACAAAGAGGAGAGAGGGGGTGTTTGGGTCCACGTGGAGTGTGATACACTACAAATGTTTCAGCACGGCTAGAGTATGAGTCACTGTTGGAAAAGTCGTGAAAGTTTAGAGCAGAGAAGAAAAGACTGGATCCTGAGATCTCTTGAATTCCATGCTGAGTAATTTAGCCTTTGCCTCGATAAAATGGGAAGCCGCTAAAGACTGCAAGCAGGCATGGGACTCAAGCTGTTTTGCTCCTTAGAAAGCTCCCACAGCTGTCATAAAGAATGGATGTCAGTAGAGCTTGGCAAGAAGCAAAGAGACCAGCTAGGAGGTGGCAGCAGAAACCTTCGAGAGAAACAAGGGAGTGGTCACTTAGTGCGGAGGAAGGGCTGGGTACAAAGAAGGCTCAGGAGAACAAATCCACAAGGTAAAGCCATCTGGGGAGGGAGGGAGGAACCATCTCTGATTTCCAGGTGCTGGCGGGCTGGTGGTACTATTCATTTGGGAGAGAGACAAAGGAAGAGGGTGCAGACGTGGGTGGGAAATGGGGTACCCTTGATTGCGGACTGATTGAGTTCAACAACCCGGCAGGCAGATGGCTACAGATGTCCCTGGTTTGTGGGAAGAGATACAAATTGCACTGTCATCAGCCTCTGGGGAAGTGATTGATGTAGTAGGCAGGAATAGATGCACCAGGCTGGGAGCCTATTTTAAATGAGAGGGCCAAGAGGAGTCAGCATTGATGGAGCAGGGGCAGGCAAAGGCTACCTGTGTTCAGAATATGCTCTGCAAGCCTGCGTTTCACTCTCTCTCTCTCTCTCTCTCTCCCCTTCTCTCCTTCTCTCCTTCTCTCCTCTCCTTCTCTCTCTCTCTCCTTCTCTCCTTCTTTCTCCCTCCCTCCCCTTCTCTCCTTCTCTCCTCTCCTTCTCTCTCTCTCTCTCTCCTTCTCTCTCTCTCTCTCCTTCTCTCCTTCTCTCTCTCTCTCTCTTTCTCTCTCTCTCTCTCCTTCTCTCCTTCTCTCTCTCTCTCTCCTTCTCTCCTTCTCTCTCTCTCTTTCTCCAAAGGTTGATTTATTTATTTTGAA